GATGTCTGGTGCAGGGTGGGGAGGGAGCAAGGTGCCAGCTGCAGGATGGGGGGAGCAGGGGGGTGCCAGCTGCAGGCTGCAGGGGGGGCGGGGAGGGAGCAAGGTGCCAGCTGCAGGATGGGGCACTTGGGGGGGGGGTGACCCACCGCTTTCATCCCCCCCAGTCCTCGCCCATCTCGTGCCCCGGCTCCCCTGCCATTGGCGAGGCTTCGACAGCCCCGGCGCCTCCCCGGGCGGTGCTGAGCCAGGCACATTCCCGGCCGGGTGGGAGGCTGCGAGGGACACGGGGGGGGCTGTGTAATAACCCCGGGAGCCGCCTGCTCCTGTCAGTGCTGCCGTCGGCCGGGGTCGGGGTCCGGGAGCCGCGCGGGCAGGAGGGGGTGAAGGCGCAGGGAGCTCCCTGGCCAGGCCGCAGCTCCGGCTCCAGCCCAGGCCAGCACCCAGCGAGCGACGGAACCAGGCAGCCAGGTCACGGGGGGCACGGCCGGGGGTGGGCTGAGGGGTGGGCACGTCTCCAGCACTGGGCGCGGCCTGGGACCTTCCTGCCCTGGGGGCCGGCGCCTGAGAGCCCTGAGCCCGTCCCGGTCGCTTGGGTTCTCGGTCAGGGACCCTTGTCACCAATGCGCACCCCGGACAGGGCAGATCAGAGCCGCCCCCCAGCTGCTCTACCCAGAGGGACAAGCCCCCAGCCCGACTCGTCGCCCCCCCATCCCCTCGGCAGAGCCCCCCCAGCCCCCTGGGCAGAGCTGGAGCCCGGCTGGGGCCCGTTGCCATGCCGGCGCCTGGTTGCTAGGTTTCGCTCGGAGCCGGCGTGGGCTGCAGCACGTTGTGCCAAACCTTGTAATTTGTGCACTTGCAGCATCTCTCGGGGTGATGGGGGGGGGGTCCCTGCGTAAAGCCTGGGGGGGCCTGAGCCCTGACCCCCCTTCAGCGTGTTCATTCCTCCGTACCCCGTGTGGCAGGCTCAGTGCTGAGCCCGCAGGCCCCTCCCAGAGGGGTCAGAGAACCCAGGCGTCCTGGCTCTAACCACTAAACAGAGCTGCCCCCTCCTCCGGCAGGGCTGGGGGGGTGACGTGACACGGCGGGGGGAGGCCCTTTCAGATGAGGGGGGCAGGTACCACACTCCATCGCCTTGCAGAGGCCCCAGCGCTGCTGGGGGGCGGGATCCCCATTAACCCAGCAATGACCCTGCACGGGCCCCAGGCTGAACTGAGCCCGTCAGCAGGTACGTGGGGGCAGCTCGGGGTCTGGGAAGGGGGTGTCCCCTACCAACAAGCCCCCCCGGACCACAGAGTGGCCCGCAGAGCAGTCGGGGAGCCGGCAGCAGTCACGGGGTTCACCTGCAGGTGCTGCTATCGCCCAGGGCCCAGCCACGCGCCCAGTGGGTTCTGGGGGCAGCGGGGCGTCTGCAGGGCACTGGGAGAGGGGCCGTGTTGCAGGCCCTGCTGAGGGGCTGCGTGTGGGCTCCGAGTGTTGTG